GGAGGTAGAATTTTTTTCTTTAATCTCTTCATATGTAACAATAGTAACATTACTGTAACATCTCAGAAGAAGCAGTTTCAGACAGTAGGGTTTTGTTTGTAAGGTGATGTTCTATGAGTAGACTCAAAGGTCTCACTTCTGTGTTTTCAGTGATAGTTCATATACATTTCTGTAGAGGAACTGAAGCTCATTTAAAATGATTTTTTTAAAAACTGAGTTCTGTAGTCTCTCCAGTAGGACAGTATACTGCAGTATCGTGCTCTGAAGCCCTCTTACAGTGATGAATTGGTATTTAGTACAGCCCTTGTCTACAAGGTCATTCAACAAGTATTGCATGACTCTTGGAACTTTCCATATTGTTTCCGCAGCTGAAAAACAAAAATCTGCAAAACCTGCTCACATTCATCGAGATGTTCATAGATAGCATCTCTGATAGGTCACAGATTACTATTTTGTCAGACAGCTAGTGAAAATAATTAAGTGTGCATAGTGACCCTGGATCAGTTTTCACTTGTTGGTACGTACTTTCATTGTCTTGGTAGATTTAAAAGTTTTTGAATGGGATGAGGAATGAGAAAAAAGGTTTACTTGCTGTGCAGTACAGAATCTCTCCTCCTTTGGGCAGCAACAGGAACGTAGCTTGTTGGATTTGAAGTTAGCAAGCAGATGCAGCCTTGAGGGTTGTTTTTCCTGTTCACTTGTCTATTACAGGACTGCCTTGTTCTGGTAACACTGATTGCTCTGTGAATAAGTAATATTGTAACTATTATGAGGATGTTATTGCTAGTGTCCTGCTGCTCCTTTTTCTTTCTTTTTTTTTGTTTTTAAAATCTTAGGGATATTTATAAACAAGATTTAGTTAAACTGATCTGCAGTATTTTGTGGCAAGTTTCTTCACAGTTCCTAAAAATGGTTTTGATTAGTCGACTCGTTAATATTTCTTATATAAATAAATGAGAACTGATGTTGAGAGAGTGTTTTTGTGAGGACAGGTTTAGTATTATTTTTGTTAATGGCATATATGGGCCTGCTACAGACAGGGAATGGAAGATACCTGCTCATCAATAGTGAGTTGAAAGTTGCACCATTTCATGCATTTTTGAGGGACTCAACTTTTAATCAAGAGAATTTTTTTCTAACTTTTGGGATGTATTGCATGATTCCCACTGGGAAGCTTTGTTTTTCTTTTTCTGTCATAGCTTTGGCTTGCCTAGGCTTCCATAAACAGGAAAAAAAAAATCAATTACGTTTCTTTCCTGTTATGGACAAGGTTGGGATGCAGCGAAATTCTGAAAATTCCGGCTTTATTTCCACTGTTCAAATAGGCTCTGTACGGAGCATATTGAACTCCATTCTTGGGACTAGAGCAAGCATTATAAGAGACTGTTCCTCCAGGTTGTGCTGCTTAGTCATCTTTTTCCCCCTTCTGTCAGCGTTCGTCATTAAGCGACACGTTTGGAAGAAAGGCCTCTGGCCAGCAGAAATGTTGCTTTTCTTTCTGTCATTCCTGATTTGTTATATTGACTCTTAAATAGGAGTATGTAGGTTCCTGGCTTGTACGTATCATTCTCTTTCCAGAAGTATTTACTGAAGTGGTCAGCTGGTACACTCTGTTTCCCCAACGAGTACATGCCCACTACAAGATTAGATGATGGTAGTACTTAAAGGGCTTTTGCTTTTTCATACTTGTTTCTTTGGAAGGACAGGATTGTAAGCGCCTCTTCTAAGATAAATATTGTGGCACTGTAAAGACATCTTTTGATGACTACATTACATGGGTATGGGGAGATATCTCCCTCTCTTCCGTTCCTGTTTCCTTCCCCCCTTAACACAACTGATACTGTTCAGTAAATTCTTTCTTATGGTATACAACCTCTAGGAATTTCTGCTGCAGGAGAATTTGGAGTTGTAACAATAACCTATTTGAGGAATAATAAAGTAATTAATGCAAGTTATTCAACATTAATGTAACAGTTTTTAATTTGTCTGTTTGTTAGTACTAGGCATTTTAACTAAACAGTGTTACTTCTGGATGAGGTTAAAAAGAGGAATGAATTTGCAGCTTAGAGCATATTCTAAGAGTGTATTAAGTTCTCGTGGCATGACTGCTATTATAGCATTACAGTATCGCATAGCCAAAAAACGTGCCATCTGCCCTGCTGCCCTGATTTATGAAATTCTTAATAGATGATACTGTATATTGAAAAGACTTTAAGATTCTCTTGAAGCCTCTAGGAGTAGCATTAAAAAGTCATGCATAGGGTGGCAGTAATATGAACGGTACATCTGGTGAAGTAGATTTTTCTTAAAAGTGAGATGGAAACCACAAGGCCTACTTAGTTTAAGAAAGGTATGTATTTTTAAAGGTGCTGAGACTATCAATGTGTGTTTCTGATTACCCTTTCAGTAAGGCACAAACAAATATTTTCCCTAGAAGAGAAGCAAGTTTAAAGTAGCTACAATTACAAAATATTTCATGCATTGTGACTGAGAGACTGCTTACTTGGTCCCACTTCAGAAATTCAAATAATTGGTATTTTTGTATGAAAAATGGTGCTATTCTTTCTCCATTGACACTATAAAGTGATCACTAATTTAGCTAAGGAAATCTTTCTTTCTATGCTGTTCTGTTACACACTTCGTTGTTCTGCAAAGGTGTTGTTTTACTCTGAGTTGTGCAGCTACGCTGTCAGTTGCAGGTGCTGTTGCACATGTCCACAACATAAATCATTGTAGAATGAGCAGACAATTTCTTATGTATCTAAAAACTCTTACGTGGTCAAAGAAAGCTTCAGTTTATCCTTGAAGCAAATAAATGACTTTGAAAGACCAAAAATATTAGTGCCTTCTGTTCCTGCCCCTCATGGGCCTTCTACCTCTGCCCCTACTGGTCCCCATCAAGACAGAAAATTAAATGTAACTGTCACTTTTCTATTAATCATTTAAAAAAGGCAAAGTCTTTTTAAGTGATGATAATGCTATGGTATTTCCTTCTATATAACACCGCTTAGTTTTTGTTGTTGAGAATTCTGTGTAATTGTCTAAAAGCGTTTTCGGTACTGAGCAGGAGATGTCTAGGGATAACCACATACAGACGTGATGAAAATGTTCTAGTTTTGTCGTTTACGTGTGTGCATATATGGATTTACACATATTTAGATGAGACTTTCAGGAGTTGGATGTGTTGACTCTATCCATTCTTTTAACCTGAATGAGGAGTGAGGGGGAGAGAAACTTCAGTCCTGGAGGAAAATTACCAAGGTGAAATGGAACATATTGGACTTGATCGCTTTGAAAGAATCACGCACTCTTACACTGCCGTGCATTTCCTTTTCCCCAGGCAGGACGCTCTCACATGGCTCCTGAGGGGAGATATTTTTCTACACTTCCATTTACCGGTTATGCCAATTCCTTGGCCTGCTGCAGTTCAGGAAGGAGGTCTGAGAACTTGTGCTTCTCCACCTTCCTTTCCTGAACTTGTGTGATAACTGCCTCTTGTATGAAAGAAAGTACTCTATCCTTTTGGAAAGAGTAGCTTTCCTTTTAGGGGTGGGAGAGGGATTTCAGAAGGGGCTTTGGGGTTTTTTTTGTTTTCTTTTTTCTGTCGTCTACCTGTTTCAGTTTTGGAAAACGTAGAGTGGCCTAGCACTTCTTCCCAGTATGGCAAGGGACAAGCAGCTTCTGTAGAACAGGCCACATCTATACCTTCGACTAGAGAAAACAGGGAAAAATGGCAGAAAAAGACTTGTAGGAAGAGGGCTGCTTTTGAGGCATGGCATAGACTTGTCTTCGTTCAGGTATGAAACAGGGAATAGGACTGAAAGCATGACTGTCAAGCTCTGAAAGCATACTTATGCTTTCATTGTCTCTGGGTCTGAGGGGTGATTAGGAAAACTTAATTGTTCAGCATTAATTATTTTTTTTTCCATGTTTTTTTTTGTCCATGGAAGTGAAATATAAATTTATTTGATATTTATGCTAGCTTAAGAGATTTATTTTTTTAATAGAAGTATGCCAAAATTATCATACCGATATGCACGACACTTGAAACTTTTTTAAGTTCACTACTGGACAAGGTATGTTTCAAGTAGTTTAAATATAGAGTAGCATTCTGCACTTTGACCCATACAAATAAACTTTTACCTTACTGGAATGCCAGACTGCAGCCACCTGGTCTCTGCTCTTTGAAAAGGGTCTGTTCACGTGGCTCAGACAGTGGGATCTGAACCAGGGCGGGGGGGACTAGTAACTTTTCTTTCCTTCTCTTCGAGGAAGTTTTTGTGAAAAGGTTTTATTTAAACTGACTAAAGAGTAGATCTTTCTCTGGCAAAGCTTGCAATAGCCTTACAGCATTCTAGTTGTCTTCAGCTGTGTATTGATGGAACTTCTCTGTTACTTATACATGAGTTTTAAGAGAACATGTCTACTAAGTATTCTTTATAAATTGGTCAGACTTACAGTTGCAAGTTTCTAGCACTCCCAATCTGTTGGTAACACAGTATTGATAGTGTAGCAAAAACTATCACACGCTTGTTTTTCTTTCCATTCCTTTGTCTTTTTGCGGATTTGTTTGTAGCAAGAGAGAGGATTAAAAGGTAGCATAGGTAAGGAATAAAGGGGTAGGGTAAAAAAAAACCCCAAACCAAACAAACCCCTAAGATTCTTAGATAATAGTAACTGATATAGAGCCAGTAGCTATGGTTTGAAATTTGCAGTGTATTGATAAGAAGGATGTCTAAATTAGACTGAGACTGTTGCATCCAAAAGCCTTACTTTATACTGGCTTGAATCTCTGTGTGCAAATGTTATCTGTTCTTAGACTGGATCTTGAATACCACCCTCCATATTGCTTGTGAACAAAAGTAGCATTTAAATGGAGGTCTTGGAAGTCATGTTTTAGAGAATATTCTAAATAGTGAGATCACTAGTAGACTTGTATTATCTCTTGGGAAAGAGATCTGATCACCTTGTGCCCATGTGTCTTCTTGGCTTCATACTAGTTTTTGATGATGGTGATGAAAGGACCTTGAGACGAACCTCGTTATGCTTGAAGGGAGAAAGGCACTTCGCAGAAAGTGAGGTAAGACAATGATGGACATGCAATGAAAACTAAGTAGTTAATTTATTTATTTATTTTATTTTTAATAATAAGAAGAAATTGCAAACTCCTTTTGTTTCCTCTTTTTCCATGTAGACACTTGATCAACTGCCACTAACCAATCCAGAGCACTTTGGAACTCCAGTTATTGGGAAGAAATCTAATAGAGGAAGAAGGTCGTCTCTTCCTGTGTGAGTTTTGATAGTGCTCTGTTGCTTTCCTTTCCTTCAGTGTCCTTTGCTAAAACTGAAGCGGTACCATTGAAGCTGTAATGGTCTGAATGCTCTATCATGTGAGCTGCGTACACAGCTTATGGGCTTAAGTAATTCAGTTCATGCAGACGTGTTCATATGTTAGCAGTATTATCAAACTGATGGGTTTTTTGCCTGTAGTAGCCTTAAGAATGTTTATGCTTCTTTCATATAATAGGAACTCGTGTCAGGAAATGTAGGATTTTTAACCTTCTTTATACTGCACAAAGTAGGAAAAAAAAGGTGCTTTTAAATTTCTGGGGTAGAGACCATTTCTCTTTGTTTCATGTCTGTGCACAATCAAATCCTGATTCATGCCTCCAATTCCAACACGATGCTGTTGTAAAATACTACTACTTGGAAAGGATTTCTACAAAATTCCTCTTACTAAGTAAGTGCACTCAATATTTAAGTGTGTTTCAAGCAATTTCAGCTCTTAAAATTCTAATTTTGTTTTTGAAGCTTTGCAGAACAGGAAGAAAGATCTGGTTGTAAGCTGTATTTGCTTTCAAATACTAACTTCAGACAAAAACTTTAAAATACTGTATGTTTTAATAATTTAGTACTGAAGATGAAAAGGAAGAAGAAAGTAGTGAAGAGGAGGATGAAGATAAAAGGCGGCTTAATGATGAATTGCTTGGCAAAGTTGTGAGTGTGACTTGTAATTCTGAGAAGGCAGACTGGTATCCAGCTTTGGTAAGTTGCTTAAGACGTTGACATCTCTAGTGCCATACTACTGATATCTTCTTAGACAAGAGTGTCATCTGACTTGTTCCATTGTTCATATAGCGCTTTTCCTGGATAGGATGGTTTGCGAACTTCACAACTTTTACAGCAGAGTTGTGAATGTAGTCAGGCTAAGCTCTGCTGCCCATATTTGCTAAAAATACAAATATTCTACAGTATCTATGGAGAGTAGGAGAGCAAAGATTAACATTTATGTATCAGTTACAGTTTTATGGCTCTTAAGACTTTCAAAACTGCACATAAAATGATTGGTATGTAACAATATTTTTCTTCTAAAAATAAGATACGTTAGGACTTGCGCTCCCAGGCAATTTAAGAGCAAGTAGATTTATGAATCTTAATTGCAGTGGAGTTTTTATCTTTTTGTATTTAATGATTACCTTTTTTCTTAGACTTTCCATCTTATGAAATACAAAGTTCCGTTCATGCTTGCATTTACATAAACGGCCAGCTACTCTAGCAGCAGAGGTCGGTTATTATTTTTATTTGACTGTCAATGTAGGATATAGCTGTTCATTGCCATTGCTGATAATAAATATGTATTAAATAAGTTCAAGTACAAGTAGTCTTGTACTGTAAAGGTAGAGACTTTGCAGATTCTTTATACACACAGAAAAGTTTACGGAGGCATATTAAAAGTTGCTTTCTTTAGTAAACTTTTTGGTATTGTCAGACAAGCTGAATACACATCTTCTGTCATCCATCAGAGACGTGTTTGTTTAAAAAAAAAAAAATACTTTGTAGCATTAAACATGCAGGTTTGGTTCACTACTTTTTGCAGACTTTATTTACTTAATTGTATATTCTGTAGTCCTTTACTTTGAGTCTTTGTGGTTAGCTGGAGCAAGCTCAGCTGTTACAATCTTCTAACTTACTTTAACATTTTATTTCCCTGCGTGAATCCAGGATCAAAAGGTAACTAACTGCACAGGCCAGTTGTCTTCCCTTCCTTGAAAGAACATTATGGTGTAACGTAGGGTGAATAGTTGGCACTGACTTATCCAGCTGTATGTATCTCAGTTTAAAACGTGAAATGTGGTATTGTTGTACGTGTTCTGATTGTTGTATATACCTTTACTAACAGCAGATTTTAACTTAACATGGTTCTAACTAGGGAGTTAAGTTACTGGAGGCCATGTACCCGTTCTGTCCTCTGCTACCTGATAAACAGGAATGTCTTACCTTGATTTTGGGGGTAAAATTCTGACACACCTGAATGGGGTGGCACAGTTTCCTCTGAGTCCTGGTAGATCCAGAAGTTCATCTGCATTTGACATTTTCTGTCTGTATATGGTCTAGAGCAAAGTGTAAACTTGTTCCGTTTGTGGTAATACAAATGCTGCAAATGCATTTTTATCACCTTTTTAGACTTGTAGAGATGATACTGCTGTGGAAGGGTGTGCTGGATTCCACACTGGCTCATATTATCAACACCTCAAAAAAAAAACAAAACCCCAAACAAAAGAAAAAAAACCTACTTACGTCTCAGTTTGAATGCCAAAGATCAGAAACTGGTATAAAATAAGTGGGTCTGTAACTTCTTAAATAGATGCTTTAAACAGGTTTTGTATGAACAAGAAGAAAAAAGCAGAGTGAATAAATAGGATCCCATGATGTTACCCCAGTGGAGTAGCTTTTGAGTTTACAAATGAAACTGCAAACTTTTCTGGCTTGTACATAGCAAGTAAAGTTAAAAGTTTGAGGTAAACTGCTTCTTGAAATTTGTCGTTGTTGGCTTTGGTAATATAAATTGGAGTAGGTTTCTTTTCTCGGAACTGGTAATTGTAATAGAAGAAACAGGAAAACAGCAGTTTTCCTGCTGTCCATCTTTCTTTCCTTTCAAGATCAGCTTTTTTTGTTGTTGTTGCTTAAAAAAAGTGTTTTATTTGAAACTTCAGGTTGTGTCTCCCAGCTGTAATGATGACGTCACAGTGAAAAAGGACCAGTGCTTAGTTCGATCCTTTGCGGATTCCAAATTGTAAGTAATAGCTTACTTTCATTAGATGTGTATGGGAGAAGAATGCTAAACTAATTACATATTGCTTCTGAAGACATTATTTCTTCCAAAAGCAAAGGGTACAATTTTGTGTAGTGTTGGTTGTACACATTTGTCATTCATAGTCCATTTCCAGCTAACTGCTTACTCGCCCACCTTTACATCGTGTGTACAGATAGAGGTCATTGGATTAGTACAGTTTCTGGTGTTTCTTTATTTAAAAAAAATCAACAACTTCAGAAAAAACCCAGGTGTTAACACTTTAGATGACTCCTGTTCTTTGAAGCATGAGTTTTGGTTTTAATTATTTCCCTTAATGTCTTAATTACTATGTCTTTATGGGTGTCTGTTGTAGTAGTTTGGATATCTGATTGACTCATTACCTCCAGTGCCCAGATGTCCATGGCTGTTTAAACAGCAAAGTTGAAAAGTGTTTAATCTACTTTTTTTAATAAAAAAGTGATTGTAAAGTACCTGTTGAATTAAAATTTTTACAGAATCTGAATGAAGATTCCTGTGAAAATAAAGAAAGGTCTTCTTAGTCCATCCCCCCCCACCACCACCCCGAAAGGGGGGAGGGGAGGGGAGAGAGAGAGAGAGATGTGTGTCTTACTTAAGGAATAATATATTCAAAAGAATATGAATGCTGTTTTTTAAAGCTGTTTCCCTTTATTTCTCTTCATCCGTACTTCTAACGCATCTGTCTCAACATATTGTAGCTAAAAACTTACTTGCCAAAGGCCAGCTGCCACCTCTCTTTCTCTCTTTATTTCAAAGTGAACAATTTGTGATTTTTTTTTTTTTTAATAGCCATGATTATGAGTAGGACATGAGCACTTGATTACTGAAACGTATTTCAAGTAACTGAAGATTTAATTCATTTTGGCCTCTTAATGTAGACATGTATCATCAGCCTTCTAGATAAGTCTGGTTCTTTATATACCGAAGGTAGAATGTTATTGGAAATCATGCAGACTTGCTCTGTTTTACTTTTTTTTGTGTGTGTGTGTCCCCAGTATTATGGCTTTAACTTCAGAAAATGGTGGCCTCCAATTCCTGAGGTTTTACTCCAGTTTTTCTGAAATAATGAAAGAAGAAAAAAACCACTGTATTATAATAACTAACTTGTAAGGCTTTCCTTGCAGGTTGGTTAGTATTTCTATTGTAGTAATTCAGTAACTGAATATTCAGTATAACTTTAGAACAGAGCAACTTCCATATATTTTGCTGTGAGAACACTTTTGTAATTTAAAAATAAAAGTAAACTATTTATCAATGCAGATATGTGAATTTGGTTTCACTTGTTCTGTGCTAGTAGAAATGCACTTTGAAAATAGAGGGCTTGTTTCTTAGCTAGATTGCTGGTTTGGGTAGCAACTGTTGATTGATGTGAATATTTTCAATTTAGAAAATGTTTTTTGCCTATGTAGAGTATTTTACCTTTGCAAATTTGTGCACAGGTTAAACATTTAAAATAAAGAAGCTTTACAAACTTTTCTTAATTATTTAATTACAAGGGTTATTTTAGTGTCTGAATTTCAAAGGTTGGAAACTTACTCTGGTTTCGAATCTTGTGTTAGGACCTACAGTAACAAATGCCTTACGCGTTTAGTTGTTAGGAAGAACCTTGAAAGTCAATGATAAATCTTGAAAATTTCAGAAATCGCTGGTTTTCTAAGTCAAATGCTTGCTTTACTGTGATTTAAAAATAATAACAGAACCTTGTTCTTTTTCAGTTACTCAGTAGCAAGAAAAGACATTAAAGAACTAGATGTTCAAAACTTACCAAAATCTGAGTCCTCTCCTAAAAAAGGTAAATTAGAATAAATTCTAGGTGTTTAAAAAAAGTAATCTTGTGCAATAGTACTTTTAACTTTTGCAGATAAACGATGGCCTGTTGATTTCTGGTAATTGCTCTTGGATATCTTGCAAACAATTTTAAATGTGATAAAGGAGAGAAACTTTGGGTATAGCCACCTTATTATTAAAATAGCACCTAGTAGAAGTGTTGTTTATTTGATTTTTATTTCCTTCTTTCGATCCACTCCAAATTCATGGGAAGTGAATGGAATATTTTCAAGGTACAGTATTTGAAATGTCATTGAACAATGGAATATATGGTTACCTCTCCTAAAATCAAAGTTTTGTGCTGTTGCTCAAAACTCTTTGTCTTTACATTAAAAATACCCAGACAGCAAGGTGTAAACTTCATTAGAACAGCCTGCCTGTGCTTAATGTTTGATTTAGAAGTATAATTAGAGAACTTGATTTCTGGATGGATGGATGGATGATGTGACTACAATAATCTATCTTTTTAGTGAGCTTGTAAAAGGCCAGATTCTCACTTCAATGTAAATAATTCTTAAACTTTTAGTGTTGTTTCTCCCAATCAAACCTCAAAACACAAAATTTATTAAGGAGAAATATTTAAAATGTATTTATTAAAAATAATAATAATAAAAAAACCCAGCAACAACACCCCCGCAACAACAACAACAACAGTTCCTCTGGTTTGAGTAAAGGTGTGGAACAGCTTTCTAACAAGTACAGATTTAACATGATACTCACAAATGAGAGCTTGAGGTGGTTTTGATTGCTTCGTGTAATGCTTAATGATTTCACATATACTTTCTTCTTAATAACTATTGCACAGTGGAAGAACTTTAGAACAGCCAAAAAAATTATCAGATGCCAGGTTTCACAGAAATTGAAGAAAGGGATTTTTTTTTCATGCAGAACATAATTGGGTTGTGACATTCATTGCCATGAGGGAATTGTGGAACCGGAGGTGCTAATGGTTTCAAAAAGAGTTTAGACAACTTTCTGGAGGTTACTCTATCAGCAGCCATTAAAAGCTGGTGCCTTTTCTTCTCCAGCAACACTGTGAATGGTTCATTGCAATATGTCTCTCTTTTGGGTATTCTTCTGCTTTCTCTTTGTTAAAGTTTTTTATTGTGTCTGGGGGGCATGTTTTGGGGTTATCTGGGTTTGTTTTGCTTTGTTGTTTCCCCCCCTCGGAGCACCTCTTCAAGGAAAAGAATTTGAGGTATTCCCATTGTACAAGTGTGACTTCTCCCTGTCTCATCACTCCCTTACTCATAAGTGTATTTTTCCTCTGTTCCAAACATTAATGTAACATCTCTTTAGGCAGTGATCTTAAACAAAACATTTGCATTTTTTTTTTGCAATCTAAACTTTAAGACATGAAGATACTTTGAAAAGAACAAAGTCACGGTACTTGATCTAACTGATGGGTTTGTTTTTTTAAATAGCTTTGTTACAGTATTTGTCTCTTTCATACAGAAAAAGAACAGTCCACAGTTGCATAGAATATATGTGGATAAGTATAGGTGCTTATCTTTGGTACTGTTCACATACATAGGTGTAAATCTTAGTAGTGTTCATGGAGGCCTATGCCTAGAGAACAACTGGATAGTGTGTGTGGGATGGATGTTCTTGACTCTAAACTCCTTGAGTTACTGATACTCGCTTTTTAAAATTTGACAGTCTCAAAATGTAAAGTGTGTAGACTGAATGTTTAAAGCTGAAGTATCTGTTTTATCACTTATTTCCATTTTTGGTTTAAGTTGGCATTGTAATTTACAAGAAGGTGAAAAGGAAATTAAAAATGCTTTGTGACTGTGAATACTGCGGATGAGGTAAAGCCAGGGCCCTTTCTTCTGTAGGGCTACAGGAGGCAAGCACATTTCTCAACACAAAGGGTGTTCCTCGGAACTGGAAAATGGACATAAGTGAAATTCTGGAGTCCTCTAGCAGCGATGAGGAAGATGGAGCTGCTGCAGAAACTGATGAAGAGGAAGAAAAGAGAGAAGAGAAAACCGAAGAAGTAGTGGTAAGTCTGGGCAATTTCAGTCATTCTTCAAAGATAATTGAGTAACTTGCATGCCTGAAGATCCTGCACTTTCCAACATTTTACTCTCAGACGTAGCTTACTCACTTCAACGTGTTTTCAGACCTGCCCATCTTCCCTTTGCTACAGCCATCTTTATTGGGATTTGTGAGCAGTGGCAGATTGCCTCCTGTTATCCAGTGCAGAAATGGGAGACAAATCTCAGAAATTAAGAATTCAAGAGAAGAGTGATAGAAAGAATCTAGGTCAGAAGGAGAGACGTAACAAAAAAAATTGATGCTGAGCCTAATAGTAGTAATCCAAACTTAAATAAAAGTAACTTTGTATTTTTCTTCTGTAGTTTATATGTAGCTTATATAAAAAGTAACTTGTTTCTGAAAACAGTAGTGTGATTAAAAAAAAAAGACAAACTATTAAAGCAAAAGCAGTAGGCTGACTGAAAGTATGAGCTAATGCACGGTGCCTCTTAAAGCTCTTTGGTGCCTAAGACACTATTTAAGAGCAGTACAGGACTTAAACCTTTTTAAGTGTTGGGTTTTTCTTAAGACCAGTATTACCGGTTGGGAATTGTAGAACCATATGCTATGCTGTGGATGGACTTTCCGTCTAATTTTTATGGTAAAATGTTTTTCTGCACTGGAATATTTTGAGTGGCTCCTTTTCCACAAAGTTTAGCCAGTTTCTTCATGTCATCAAAAACGTATTTACAGAATTTACTTTTATTTCTGCTACCTGTTTTTAACCTTGATGTTATATTTGGAAGGGAGGGGGTGCATTTGGTTGCGGGATTTGTTTGTTTTTTTTTTTTTTTCTCGTCGTGCAATTTTCACCATACGCTCGGAAACATTCCTTTCTTTACATCGAAAAAAATCAAGTGAAGTTTGCCTTCTGAGGAAGGTCAAACACCGTTTCCCTTTCCTTCCCCTTCCCCTGCAGCGTGCGGTTTTGTCAGCCCGAGCACAGAATGGCCGTTCATACTTGGAGGCGGCCTACAGCGTTGCCACGGCAACCGAGTGTTGGCTGGCAGTG